GGAAAATGTGAAACATTGTGGATTAGGAATACAGATCTTTTTATCTTACTGTCTGTTGTCTAGCTTGTTGACTTCAACGTCTATGTTTTACTGTATGAGTGCAAACTTGGAGTTTCGCGTAACACTACATATGTAGGGGCTTGCAACAAGGTAGGTCCCCACCTGGGGCACATGTTTCCTCTGCCTGAGAAAGAGATATGCGAAAGAACTGGTGTATCCAATAATCTGTTCTCTTATATATTAGTAAAAGTGACACGACATCTCTCTTACACCAGAATATATACCACGTTTCATTATGAAATAAAATCACTTCTTAACATTTGCTAATGAGTACTACTGTACTAGCCTGTCCAAAATCCAATTGCAGATGAGCATTGGCTATTAGTAAGTCGCCTCACGTCACAAAGCTAATGGAGAAAAGGGAACTATTTCCAGGAATCAAACATACCTCCGGTGGTAGAGTAGCTACTCCACTGGAGTCGGAGTTGGAGTTGGAGTTATGTGACATAATAGAGAATTAGAATCAGAGTTGTTAAAAGAAACGAACATACACATATTTTTCTATCAGAAACATTGAATTATGATATTGAATTTTCTCTTGTTTTTTAAAATTATTCTGCTGGCTGAAGGAACTAAATCACCAAAAAAAATTTAAAATTTATTTTTAACAAATTTAACACTAGCCAGAGTGTCTACAGCCTTTTATTGAAAATAAAAAGATATCAATCTGTGAACGCGAGTTTAACTTGAAATATCATACCGATTTTAGAAGCAAAGGAGGCTAGACATTACCTTACCAATCCTCATAAGGTATAGCCTCAGACAAAATTTTAACCTGAAATAGCGTACCAATTTTATTGATATTCCTTTTAGCAAGTCGCGTCATGCCATCACAAAGCAAGCGGACCAAAGGGGATTTTATCCGGGAATTCAAAATGTAGTCTCTATTCAGCATGTCTACTGTAAAATTTACAGAGTAGAAGTAGTTTGTGAATAGGAATCACTGAAAATGGTTAATCTAGCATGCAAATTAATTAGTTCAGAGCGACTCCGATTTTAAGGGAGCAAAGAGTACTAGTATGCAGTCCTAGGACTCGGCTATGTTTGATTGTTATCTCATTGCATGACAATTGACATAATAGAGATTTACAACTAGAGTTGGCAAATGAGATGAATATATTATTTGTTATTTCCTTTGTTCAAATTGGTCAATCAGAGTCTTTGATATTCCCCTGTAGTCTTTCACAGCGTTATAATTTGTACGTGTTATAAGTTCACAGAGAAAAGGCAAAGTGTTATTCCCAAAGGTAGCAACTGATTCATGGCTTCAAAACTTACTACTAGTTCATATTGATTGTTGAAACCTTTGCTTTAAATACAAAACTTTATGTGGGACGTGTAAGTTTTAACACTTCTGCATCAAACATTTTCATGTCAAGAGGTATTGATCATGCTTAACTTTATTAATATACTTTTGCGGAGGCCATTTTCATATTTGTACCAAGTTAACTATCTTATTATATCGGATAATAACAGAATACTAATTGTACCAGAGTTAAGGCTTATGATAGATGTTTGTATAGCTATATATAAATCATTTCATTAAAGGTAAAATGAACATTTTAAAGTTAAATCGTTATTAAATATAGAAGAATGTGTCATTTTTTCAGAGAATAACTAAAAGGGATGGCATATGGAAGTAGTTAAGGAATCAAACAATTATTAGTAAAATTTTCTTAGAGTGAGTCTATAACCATAAATGAAAAGAATTACTCCCATGTTCCTAATTACTTATCCACTTTTGAATTGACACACCTATTAAGAAAACAATAATTGACAAGTGACTTTACCATTTTACCCCTATTAATTATGAAGTGGGTAAATTAAAAATTTAAGCTTTTCAAAAAGTTCTACCTTTTTCAAAGTAATTAATTGAGGGTATAATAGGTAAAAAAAAATTGTCCTTTCTTGATTTGTCAAAATGGACAAGTAATTAGGGACAACTAAAAAAGGAAAAATGGACAAGTAATTAGGGACAGAGGGAGTATTAGTTAATTACTCCCTTCGTTCCTTTTTATATGTCATTCCTTTCTATAAATAGTTGGTCCATAACACTTGTCATTTCATAAAATCAATTCATAAATTAGCATATTGTTCCTTTTTTACCTCTGTGAGTTATTAGCCTTGAAAATATACATTTGACCAACTTAGAAAAACTAAGTAAATGATTCATGTTCATTGGTTAAATTAATTAATCAAAATAAATTAATTCATATTCATTGATTGAAAACTTGAGTTCCACGAAACGGCTAACCTAGGGTTTCCTTCTTACCCAGCAGTTGCGCAGCTCTCATGGCTGCTACGGTCACTGGACGGCCTCCTTTCGAGGCTGTCCAGCCCGACCCACCACCCCAAACCACCACATATGCCACCCTTTTCAATTCCAATATTATAAATCCTAAACAATTTGTCCTAATTAACTCAAAAACAATCGCAAAATCAATCGAAATAATTCATGGAGAACCTAGCTACTATCACGTTTTCAATGTAGGAAAGGCAAGACTTTATGATTGAAGGGATTGCATCAAGCAGTGATGTTTAAATTATCCCATGGTGAGCCAGATTTGAAGGTATTAAGGTCAATTTTACCGAAACATCTTGGTACCAAGGGCAACTGTTTAATTGGCTTACTTGCTCCAAGAAAATTTTTGTTGAGATTTGATCAATATGAAGTTTATGTACTAGCTTTATCTCGCTCAGTTAATTATCTTCTCTACAATTGAGAGGAGCACCAATGTAGGGTTTTTCCATGGTCCATTGGATATAATCCTAAGGAGGAAACGACTTAGCTGTGGCTTGGATTTCTTTACCGAACCTATCTCCAGATTTGTTTGCAAAGAAGTCTTTGTTGTCTATAGCATCGGCAGTTGGGACACCAAAGTCAAGACCTAGCACAGCTAGGGTCAAGGTTATGCTTGATCTAATGGAAAAGCTTCCAAATCGTATAAGATTGCAGTTTGTGGATGGGAAATCTGGTAAGTTGATCAAGGTTTTTTCAGGAGATTGTATATGATGATAATCTACCTTTGTATTGCAATTATTGTAAGCACCAAGGTCATGATGAAGATAGTTGTCGTTTGATCTCGAAAAGAAATCAAAATAAACAAACAAATTGATGATACCATTGAAGTTGCTTCAAAAGGTACTATCGATAGTGAAAAGTATCAAGGTGATGCGAGAGAAATACTAAATAGAAAAAAGAAAGGTTATAGATGTCGATCAAAGTAAAGCTACTTTTTTAGATCGACAATTGGTTGATGTCACTTTTGAGAAACATCGTGCACACTCAATGGATGTTGTTACAAGTAATATTGGTGTTCAAACAACTACCGAAAACAAAGAGGGAACACCAAGAGCTGGGATTGATGCGCTGCGAGTTGGTTCAGGCAAAAAAATAATGGATTCAGGACACAAACTAATGGATACATCTGATGTTGAAAATGATGAAAATTCTGGGCAGCATGTTTTGCAAGTTAAAACCAAGAATGCAACTCAAAATTGGACACTGGTTGCACAAAAAAATTCAACTAGTAATCGGAACCCTTCCTCGACTAGTCAAAATAATTTTCCATGTAGTGAAAAGGGTGTGACTGGAAATTTTCATGACAGTGAAAAGAGGCAAGATATTAGTAATGCCTCAAGAGACCTATTATGTTCGAATAGCATTGATGTTTTATTGAAGACTACTGGAAAGCAAGTAAAGTTAACAGAGAATGACAACGATTTGATCCAAGAAAAACAGGTCTCATCACCTATTTTGAATAGCAAATTAAGTCGAGAATCTCCCGTATTTGTTCCTAAATGTGTGATTGCAAAGAAGAATGAGTCAAGGGCCTTAGTGTCAAATACAATTGATTTGGGCGAGGATTCTCTTGATGAAGACGGGGAAGACAATATGCTTGATTTGGGTGAAGATTTTCTTGATGAAGATGAGGAAGATATGTTGGACATATGCTTTGATAGAGTGGCTAGGGAAGGAGATATATCACCTAGGCAACAAAGAAGTAGAAGCAACAAAAGCAAAAATAAGACACATGGAAGGCAACATAGTTGGGACAGTAAAATGACTGAGGAGTTTGTTCCAAGGCACCTACCGATGCGACAGGCAAAGCAGAACCATTTGACAGTATCAATAGGTTCAACAAGATCCAATAAATCCATAAAGAAAGTATGAATTATCAAGTGTTGTTGGATAGATTTGAAGAAGAAGACAAGAGAAAAATACTTCAAGTTACTTTTGATGGGAAATCAATCCTTTTTAATTCATGTGTTTGTAATAGAAAGTTTGAGGCTGATAACTCAACTGTCTTCTTGATTGGCATATTTTTACATTATTTAAGCATCCTCATTTGTAATATCATCATGGAGTGTATTACAAACTTTGTGATGATCAGAAAATACTTAGTTCTCTCTAGCTCTTATTTTCTTCATGCTTGTTAGGTAGTAGACGTTAGGCACTTCATTAGGATTAGTAAGATAAAGCCTAGCCTCCCTGCTTGTACTTATCCCTATTGATATTTTTTATGTTTAATAAAAGGTCACTAGACACTGTCTAGTGGTAAATTTGCATGGGAAAAAACACTTGAGTTCCAAAGAAATTAAATAAGGGTAGAAGGGTAAAGTTGCATCATTTCTTAATCAAGTGCAAAGTTAAAAAGTGACATATACAAAGAAACGGAGGGAGTACAATTATTAAAAGGGATATCGAATAGACGAGGAGGCAGAGGAAGAAAAAGAAAAAGCAAAATAGAATATCAACCGTTGAGAAGTCTTGATTTCGAAAAAGCATATTTGTTGTAGTTACTAACTACTCTTTATGTACTAGATTTGGTTAGCCCGTGCAAGCACGGGCCCAATACTTGCCTATATCAAATTTTTATAACTTGATAAAAAAAATTGCTTTATATGGATCACTAACTACTCATAATTCAAGCTGTAAAATAAAATAAAATTGCTTTATATGGATCACATATTCATATTAAGAGCGTGGCCAATTTTCTTCTAGTGATGGTGATCAACAATATTCACTAAAGCTTTCAAATGCCACATTCTTCGTTCGAACTTCATCGTGCACTCTGTATGTCTCCTCATTTCACAACTGCCTCGCCTAGGTATTATGCACCTCGATTCTGTATCTATGTAGGTCAAAATTTCAAGCACAAATCACATTAGAAATGAAGGCTCTTTTAGAAGTAAACAAACTGGGAAAAGAGAAGCTAAGGCAGTTGAGCACAAACGTACTGTAGATTAATCATTCAAAAGTGAAACCACCCACCTATGTTTATTCACAGAGAATGGCTACATATTTAAGAGATGCAATCTAAGCAAATGTGTTGTTTTTTTCACACAAACTATTTGTACATGCAGTATTCCTAGTATTAAGTCATCTGCTCTTTCAAAAAAAAATTGTTAGATAACAAACTCCATATTCATATAACGTTGTCAGTCAATCGTGTGATCATTCGGAGCCTAAAGTTACGAATCAATTCGAAGTTTAGGGAAACACAAAAGCTCTCAAAATAATGAATGCTGCCAGGAAATGGTACCTGGCCTTTTAGTCCTAGATCAGCTCTAGATACAAGAGGTTGTTATTAATACAAATAACCAGTTATCAGATTAATCGACCAACATCTGAATGAACTTATCATCCAATTTCACATTTGTACTATATGAGCTGTCTGTACGATAATGCAATAATATTCATATCATAATTACATGATCATACCAATAAGTAATTTTATAAGAAAGTTGATAATTAGACAAAATGTGAAAGATCCTTCAATAGAGAATCCAAAGTTATTGGATCCAAATGTAGTTGTATGGTGTATAGTATTTACGAATCCAACTTTCAATAAAATATCATTGTTAGTTTGTTACCAACAAAATTTGTATAAAATGAGAACATCATAAGAAACAACTAACTTACCAAAGAAAGAAAGAAAGAAAGAAAGAAACAAACAATTAACCTTTCCAAGCATAACGCAACAGTCATTAATCATGTAGCGGTTTAGAGAATTCTCTGTTGCATCAACTACCACATCATATATGACAAAAATTATTAACAAACGAAATGTTAAATCCTCCTCTGCAATACAAAACATAAAGAAAATACAAATAGAAAATAAATTCATGATCATATAATAGTAAGTGTTAAATCATACTTGCTTAACAACTCTAATAGAGACGCCCGAGTTTGGTTGAAGAATGAATGATAACTTATAAGAAGAACCAAAGTGCACTGAAAGAATCAACTAATTCTTGCCAGTCATAACAATCAGAATGGTTTAACCTTCGTTTGTTTCATTAGCAAAGTCTACCATAAAGTGCTTTAAACTCTGATGGAGAGTATGTGTTAAGGGTGTTCGATATAGCAGTTGCAGTAATGTATGACATGAGTGTCCACAGAAGATTTGCAAGCATTGTTGGAATGTTAAGAGTAAGACAAACCTTTTTTGGCGACAATTGATGTTGCTGGATCACGGCGTGCAACGACACAACGACAACATTTGATGTTGAATCTAATAAACAATCATTCCAATTAATATCTAAACTGCTTTTGGTAAACTAACGCTGAAACAACATTTTAATGATAACTAACCAATTGTTACATCTTTTCGAATCTGTTTAAGGAATCAAAACAGAATCATTTGAGGGACTTACACAAGGGCTTTGAGGCTATTCAGGAGGACTCTCCTTTGGGGACTCTTTCTGTACAAACAATCAACAAAGACCTTGAGGTAATTATAAAGAATTCATAATCAATTATAAGTTAAGAACACATATTATAGTCCAGAATCTGTCAATCCACAAAAATTTAGTACAACAAACTTGAGGCTTCTCGAACAATAGAAACAAAAGGAAATGGTAAATATTGGTCCTTAATTTTCTTTGAGTAATCATAAGAGGAAAAGAGTTACAAAGTAGACTAAAATAATGGAATCTAAGAGCAGTGAAGGAATCCCATTAATAATTAACCATTTTGATCCCTTGAAACAACTCGATGAATTTAGTAGATCGTTTTAGGAGGCACCATATCTAAAAACTAATAACAATTTCTCTCATATACCATTACTGAAGTTTCAAACTGCATCAAAGAAATTTGGAGCATGGCTGAGCTGGTAGGTAAAAGCTGGAAGGGACAATGTCATATGTTGTACCATTGGTTACTAAATGGTAGTAGGCATTTCATAACACTTCCAAAGATTAGCTGTACTTGGTGAGTAAAACATAACAATAGCATGGGCCATGGGAACACAAAGTGAACAAGATTGAAATAGCGAGGAACATATAAGCACTGATCGGAGAATTTTAGGGAAAGAAAAGAACCACGTTGTTGGACAGTAATTTAACTTTCAATATTCAAACTTCATCAACCCATTTTTTGTTTTTGAAGCTCATAAGAAAATCGAGGAGAAAACATATAGGGATGAAAACTTAAGAAATGAATCTAAATTTGTTTCAACTTCACATTTTATGTATAGGTTTGTTTAGAAATTTGTTGTAGTGACTATGTTAATTACAATCATTAACTAAAAATTTACTGTGTTTTTTCCTTCCCTTTATGTAAACTTCTAAATTGTGTTGGCTTAAATTTTGGATTTTGAACTTGAGAGTTGTTCAAGTGAAAAAATACAAAGTAATTGCTACTCGTAAACTTGTTGATACAACAACATCATGAAAGATTTTCTAACTGCACAGACGACTCTGTCCCTTAACTTTTCTCCCCAAGTATTTTCAACTGTTCTTCCCAAATGTTCCTAATTTTTTTTTGAGAATACCATATATTTCTCACTGCACAAATGACCTATATTTTGTTTTTTTTGGCTTTTTAATGGTTCTCTAAATGTTCATGCTGACACTAATGACCTGGGTTTTGCGATTTCTGGCAGGCCTTTATCTCAATTTTGGCCATAATTTCGATTTTCCACAAATTTGGACAACACAAAAATCAAATCTTCATCAATCCATAGAACTAAATCTAAAACCAAAACTTTATAAATCTATTTAGACAAATTTATATACCGAAGGAAAAAAAATTGAAGATCAAAAGAAAATCGTCAAAAATACATTTGAAGATAGACACTTTATAAATCAAATCTAAAAATATTAAAGAGAAAAACAGAGAAATGACAAAGAATTACCGTAAAGTTGCAGTAATCCTCGAAGAAGTTTGAAGTGCCAAAACACCTCTGATTCTGTCTTCGACTTGTTCCTAACCATGACTGCTCCTTGAACTATTAGGAGCTCGAAAAACTTATTTGAGAGAGAAGTCGGTGGCTCTTGGAATTTAAGCCACGTATATTTCAGAAGGCAGTGGCTCTTGAAATTTAAGCCACGTAGATTTAGCTCATACTTCAGTTTATAAGTGTAATGACTAAATTGTCCTCAATTTTAATTTTATTGACATATAGCAAACATGTTGATACCACCACTTTAGACTTCACACTTCTAATATAGTAGAAACATTACCTTATAATTCTCTTTCGAAAGAAAATTGTCTAGTGCTCCAACTTGCAATGTTGGTCATAACACCTAGGAGATGCATTCGGCAAAATTTAATAATTTTGACTTTTGACTTAATTTTTTATCTGAAAAAATTAAATTTTTTATTTTAAAATAAATAAAAAATAACCAAAATATAATTTTTTGATTTTACGCAAATAATGCACATCTCTAAGCTTGATATTTATGTGAGAAAAGTAGGAGCGGACAACAAATCTATCAATAAAAAGAAAAGAAAAAGAAAGGAAGTAATAAGGTTGTCCCTATATCATTTAAGACTATAAATGTAGAAAAATTAAGGGTTTCTTTGGCAGAAAAGAGAGAGGATAACCATAATGATTGTGGTAGAGTCCTTTCATTTCAACAATTTTCCATTGGAATTAATGAATAGAATTACAAGGTAAAATCCAATTTCTTTTTGTTAGATTCTTCTTTTAAAGTCATCCATAAATTAGGGCCGTCTAATTCACTTTTTTCTTTCTAATTTGTAGCTTCATGGACATGTACTTTTAGCTGTCGTGTACTTATCAAAGTGGAGTTTCGGGGTATTTGAAGTAATTTCCTATTTCCTTCTCTTAAATTTGGATGAAAATACTAAACAAAATGATTCTTTTGTTTTCACTTTCCATCTATTTAAAAAGTGGTGCTAGAATTTGTAAACTACTTTTTTCACCTCTTCTCAGGATCGCTCACTCTTTTAATTCTCTTGGTGACTCAAACTCACAATCTTATAATTGGAAGCAGAGGCGGAGCTAGGTAGGGGGAGGAAGGCTCATCTGAAGCCCCTTTAGCAAAAAAGAACATTGTATGTGTAAGGTTAGAATTATTTTTTCATCTATATAGCGTAGATGTTGAATTTAAAACAAAAAATAAGCAGATAAATAAGAAGTTTGCAGTATAACGGAAATAGAACAGAGAGAATGTTATTCCTGAAGCTCTGGTTTACAGCAATTATGCAGCAGCTATATAAACTGTGCCACTAACTTGAACTCCTAAAAATACTCTTGTAACTTACTAAGACTCCTATCTAGGTAGACTTCCTACGAAATAGGAACTGATTTATTTGACTCAGTAAACTAAACAAGGCAGAAGTAAACATTTAAAAAAGACTGTTAAAATGCACTAATTTTTAACAATATTATGCAATTAAAACTATGCTTATTTCATGTCTATATCTGAAACAAAATAAAAGATCTCACAAAATGAAATGCACAAACAAGTAAATTATATTAGATTACGAGACTTAGACGAAGACAAAGTTCATTACAAAAGAGTCTACACCTAATTGATTACAACACAAACAATGTCATGCTACACCAACATTGATCATACTACATTGAGGGCCTAAGGTAACTTTATTGAACCTTTCTTCATATATGTCACCCCGAACCAATGGTTTATAGCTATAACTACAACACAACAACAAACTACAACAAAATAGAGTAAACTCTCCCAAGTTCTTCTCCCTTTCTTTCATCTTCTCATGCCTTCTTGCAACATTTTCAATTTTATACCTGGACAATTATTATCTTGTTTGAATTCTCTAGGCTTGTCAACTTCTTTAGAAATCTCAATCAATTTAAATTCAGTGGTTGATGTTTGAGAGGATTCTACTAAATTTTTAAACTCACCCAATTTCTCTATTAGTTTAGGAATCACAAATTTCAACTTTGGATCAATATTATCTTTGTTCTTCCAACATCAAAAGTGGTAAGATCTAGGATCATTCAATAATGAAAAAGGATGATGGCATAAGTGCTTAATCAAAATTCTCAATCGGCTAAATAAATGAGAAAAAAATATTCTTTACCCCATAATAAGGACATGGCCAATATCTTCTTCCGAGATTATTTGAAGTCCAAGATATTTTCAAATGCTCCATAAGTCCATGGTTACAATAAAAGAATTTCTTCGTAGTATGATCATCGATCCTCTTCCATACAAAGGTTGGTCAAGTTAATCGATCTCATTGTGTGCTACACTTTTGTCGAAGAAGTAATCACAATCTGGAAGAAACTGACAATAAGGAAAAGGGAGAAAACAAAAATCAAAATAATAGATGAAGAAGAATAAATTTGAATTTTACCTTTTCTCGAAGAAAAATTATTCCTTCAAAGATTCAATTTTTAGGTTTAAAGTGCTAAGATTTGAGATGAATCAAGAAAACGATAAGAAATTGAGTCGCTATTTTCGGGTAGGTTGTTCTTGAAGGTGAAGGAGAAGAGGAAATTAGGGTTGGTTGTTCTTGAAGGTGAGGGAGAAAAGGATATTGGATTGGATATTACCGTTGAAGGGACAAAATGGGTTTAATATAATTTTTAAAAAAAATAAAAGATAAATTTGATGATTAACGTGTCGAAGAAAGTTGTTTCAACACGCGTGTTGGGCAAGTGTCCGGAGGGTTGAAAAAAATTCACTTTAAATTTTTCTTCAAATGAAAAATCCATTTGCAAGTGATAAGCTCGCAATTTTCTGGCTTCGACACCAACTCCCACGTCTGATTTTTGTTCAGAGCATCAATTTCTTCTTGCATAGCTGCTTCCCACTCAGGATGACCTTTGGCTTCTTCAAAGCTTACAGGTTCATCCAATACTCCTGTAAAGAAACATGAAGTAATCGAGCAGTTGTTCAAGTGTACCTCATAATCTTTGAAGTAACTTGGCTGTCTTTTCTCTCTTGCTGACCTCCTTTCGGTTTGTTGTTCAACACCATTTGAATTTGAGCTTTCATCATTATTTGAAGCCTGCAAATTTCTCTCTGGAGTCAGCTCCAAAGGTTCTTGATCAACATCAAGAATCATTTCTTGATTGTTAGTTTTCTGGGCAGAATGGTAGGATGATATTTCATCAAACACAATATCTCTGGAAGTGACAAATTTCTTGGTTTCAGGGTCCATACACCTCCACCCTTTCCTATAAGAATCATAGCCAACAAAGATACACTTTTTTTCTTTCGGGTCAAGTTTAGTTCGAGAGGATTTTGGAATATGAACATAACAAGTTGAACCAAATACCCGAAAGTAATTTACATTTGGCTTTTCATGATATAGAATCTCGAAAGGGGATTTCGCTTTACCTGGCCATGGAGGCAAACGATTTATCACATAACATGCACATTGAATAGCTTCAGCCCAGAGCTCTCGAGGGAGATTTTTATCATGCAACCAGGAAAGGCTTGTAGAAGCAAGATGAGCCATTTTCCTTTCAGAAACACTATTATGTTGGGGAGTGTTGGGGCATGTCATTTGCCTTGAAATACCATTGTCATCGCAATATTTAAAGAATGCATCAGACATGTATTCTCCTCCATTGTCACTACGCAAGCATTTAACTTTTACCCCAAAATCCTTTTCCACTGTAGTTTTAAATTCAGCAAATTTTGACAAGGCTTCACTCTTCTCTTTCAAGAACTTCACCCATGCATATCTTGAGAATTCATATAAAATATCATGACATACTGAAAACCACTATAACTTGTTGTTTTTGTTGGTCCCATAAGGTCTGTATGAACCAGTTCAAACATAGTGGATCTTCGATTTCCTGATCTTTGAAATGGGAGACGATGTGATTTCCCAAATTGACAACCTTGACAAACTACATCTTCATGAATATTTTGCAGAGCTGGTAGACCATCCACCAGTTTCTTTGAACAGATTTGCCTCAACAATTGGTATCCCAAGTGCCCCAGTCGAGCATGCCAAATTGCTGTGCTATATGTTTGACTTGTCTTCTTCACATAGGCTTCTTCTACTGCCATGACAAACAACGAACCTTTCTTTTCACCCGTAAGAACAACATCAGCAGATATGTTCTTCACGTTGTCCAGAATCTTCACATCATTTGGACCAAATAGAATATATTTTCCAGAATCAGTGATTTGAGAAACTGAAACTAAGTTTCTCTTCAAACCTGGAGCATGAAATACATCATTTAACTTGACAGCACCTGTAGCTCCAACGTCAATCTTCATGACTCCTTCATTTGCTACTGGATATGTCGAGTTATCTGCTGTAACAACAACTCGTTCTCTGTTATGTTGGCGCAACTCTGAAAGAAGAGAATCATTTCCTGTTACATGATGAGAGCAACCAGAATCAATGATCCATTCTTGTGTACAATTATCATTGTTATAGAGAGCTTGAACTACATCATCATTCCTCTGCTCATCTACTTCTACAGTGAAGCACTGCTCCCATTTGAGTTGCTCGTTTCCATCATTTTCACTTGCAACATTTGCATTTGAGATCCTCACTCGACAATTTTTCTTGATGTGTCCAATTTTACCACATCTATAGCACTTTTTATTCTCAAAGTTGCCACCAGTAGTTTTTTCACCATTGGATCCTTTTTCATTGTTCCTGCTTTCTGAGGATACGATTTTCTTTTTATTTTTATCCTTTGAAAAGAGAGCTGCATCTGGTTCAAAGCTTTTTGCCATTTGCTTTGCCAATGCCTCCTGATTGGAAAGCAAATTTTCAAATTCTTCAACTGAAGGTTGCTTTGTCCAACCCTGAATGGAGGTGACGAACGGACTGTACTCTTTCTTTAATCCTCGAATAAGAAATCGCCGCAATCTTGCTTCACCGATCTTCTCATCAGGATCTAATTCTGAAATTTCAGCACAAATTCCTTTAACTCGTAAGAAATATTCAGAAATAGACATGCCCCCCTGTGTTAGCATTGCCAATTCATTTTCCAATAGTTGTAGCCTAGCAGTATTCTTTTTTGTAAATAATCTCTCAAGTATCTCCCAAACTTCTTTTGGTG